TGCTTTCACTGTATTTGATGTCGGTATAATTTGTGGAGGGGAAGGGAAAAAACAAGTCGTTTAAATAAGGATAGAAGTGGACCCGTTGCAACAATGAGAAGTACAAGTTGTCATGTCAAAAACGAACTTTACAACTTTGGTGGGGGGGGGGGAAGATTGGTGAGGGGGCGGGGGGAGGCTGGGAAGGGATGGGAAAGGTAAACAAAGGAGGAGTCTGCAATGCTTGATTAAGAAATGTACTATCTTGCCCATGTAATTGTAACCCCTCTGTACAGTATTTTCACAATAAAAAAAAAAGATTATTTCTTTGTTGCTTTGTATGTCCCTCCCCCATGGTATAACCCCTGCTTTCACTGTATTTGATGTTGTTATTTGATGTGGAGCAGAAGGGAAAAAACAAATAATTTAAATAGGGATACAGGTGGACCCACTGCAACAATGAGACGTACAAGTTGTATGTCGAAAACGAACTTTACAACTTTGGGGGGGGTGGGGGGTGGATGGGATGGGAAGGGGAACCAGTGGAAACAAAGGAGGAGGCTACAATGCTTGATAAGAAATGTACTCATTATCTTGCCCATGTAATTGTAACCCCTCTGTACAGTATTTTCACAATAAAAAAAAAATTAAAAAACATAACATTCCATAGGTGGGGGGTTAGTTTTCTATCCTGCAATACAAAGCATAGTAAATGGCAATTTTGGAGTAGCAGCTGTGCATTTAAGTCTTGAATATTTGAAATTCTAGTTCGGTGTTGTTTTCTGGTAGAACTGTTTTCCTGAAGAAAACCACTCCCTGATCCTTTCTGTAAGAACTCTGTGTGCTCTCTCACACCTTTGCATGTGGTAGTCCAGTTTTCCTAATTGTTGCTGAGCTGTGAATGATGGAGAATGTGGGTGTGTCGTGCACACGCTGTGACATGGTGATGTGGTGGAAGTTAGGTAACAGCGGACCAGCATTTGGAATATGGATACTTTGCTTCCTCTAACGGAAAATGTGCTTGCAGGTTTGAAGCTGGAATGTCACTGGAACACTTTTTCCAACAGCTCATGGCCTTTGACTTTTGGTACGTGTGCTAAGAATTGTGTACAAATTGAACTGTCTATGTACTGATCTTTGACACAACCAATAAAATCAGTTATAAAAAAAAAGAAATATGGTAGAGTCAAGGGAGAACTCAAATAGTGTAATTAAGGCAACATATGCTGAAATTACTGCTTGATATTTTTCTGAAGTCAGATAAGATTATACTAATTTAGATACAAATTATTACTAATTTAGATCCAGGGAAATATTTAAAATGTAAACTATATTTTACTTTTGATTCTATATACATGTTTTGTAACATTAATAAAATTATTAAGAAGCAGTAACATTTCAGTGGTTAAAGATCCCAAAATATTGAAATATTGACACTATGCAGAGTTCATAAGCATTTGAAGAAAATAGTATGTATGGTTTATGATAATATATATTTATCATGTATAATGGGAAAATATAAACCAATGGAAATTCTTTTTTTTTTTTCTTTGATCAGTCATGGGGCTTGAACTCTGGGTCTCAGCACTGTCCTTTAGTTCTTCAGCTCAAGGCGAGTGCTCTACCACTTGAGCCACAGTACCACTTCAGGGTTTTTGGTGGTTAATTGGAGATAAGAGTCTCATGTACTTTCCTGCCTGGGCTGGCTTTGAACCTCGATTCTCAGATCTCAGCCTCCTGAGTAGCTAGGGTTACTGGCGTGAGCCACCGGTGCCCGGCCATTGAGGGAAATTTTAAAGTGTATATCCCTTAATTTAATCTTTCAAGTTTTAGAAATTTATCCCACAAAAATATATGTGCAAGTTCACTAGAATATATGTAGAAAAATCTTCATTAGACACTATTTGAAATGATTAAAAATTGTGACAATTTGTCAATAGAGTATTAAATACTGAATAGCAACTGTACAAAATTATATTTGTCTGTATGAAATTATTTGGGAGTCTGTTTACTTATGCTGCTCTGTAACATATGAGAATGCTGAATGAAAAGAAATCAACTACATTGCTAGGCACCTGTGGCTCATGTTAATCCTAGCTACTCAGGAGGCTGAGATCTGAGGATCAGTGTTCAAAGCCAGCCTAGGCAGGAAACTGTGAGACACTTTTCTCCAATGAACTAGCAAAAAACTGGAAGTGGCATATGCCTGTACTTCAGCTGTTCAAGAGGCTGAAGCAAGAGGATCACAAAGCTAAAACCCGTGTGGGCAAAATAGCAAGACATGTGTCTCAATAAATAAAGTATCTTAAAAAGCAAACGTTGGCCAAGTAGTGATGAGTCACTCCTATAATAGTAGCTTCTTAGCAAACTGAGAACTGGGAATCATAGTTCATAAGCCAGCCTGGGAAAAAAAAGCCCATGAGACTCTTATCTCCAATTAACCAGCAAAATGCCAGCTGCAGCTCAAGTAATAGAGCACCAGCTTTAAGTAAAAAAGCTAAAAAAAAGTGCCCAAGCCCAGAGTTCATGCCCCAGTAAAGAAGAAAGAAAATAAATGTGTACCCAGGAAAAATGTGTTGTAGGTACAAAGTTTCAAATATATTTATTATTCAATTGTCTTAATTACATGACTCAAGATTTCTATCATAATTTTAAAAAATTTACTACATGTATTATAGCCTGACAATACTTTTTTTAAAGTACTCCCTCAATCATTTCTGGTTTGTATTGTATCTCTAGTATATTTTGCTCTTTATTAATTGAAACTGCATTCCAAACTAGACTTTCTCATTATAGCTTATGCCTTTTATATACCTATTGTGATTCTCTGTCCTCTCTATTCCTTATAATACTTTATGCTTTGAATTCTATTTCATTTGAGAGCCACAAAGTCACTCATATTCTTTTATATTTGACAGATTTTACTTTCCCTTCTATTTTATCTATCTGCATCCTTTTATTATATAGGTAATATATTAGATTCCCTTTTTCATTACATCAGGCATATTTATCATAATAAATGCTCAGTATTATTCTTGATATCTTAGTTTATACATTCTGGCTTTTTCCAGAGAAAACAAGGGCTCATAGGATGAAAAGATAGAGCCAAGTAGGAAGGTAGTGGTATTGATAACGAGAAGAAAGAGGAGGAGAAGAAGGAGGAGAAAGAGGAAGAGGAAAAGGAAGAGGAGGAGGAAAAGAATATGAGGGACAGTAATGGGAATGGAGGATTGAGAGAAAGTTCCCTGATATCAAGGCTGGGTAACTAGACTATGGGAGGTCAAAGAGCTTCCTTCAATTTATATAATTGTAGATAATGAATTTAGTTTCAAGATATATCCATCATAGTCCTTGTAGGATATATAAACTGAGACATGCAAAAAGTAGGTAAATATCACATTTGGAGCGTATGAAAGTTTTTATCTAAAATTCATAGTTCTATGGCAGAATCTGGATTTTATATGTAGTTTAAAAGAACAGTTTGGTGAAGGTCCACATGCACATTAAGATTGTGTCTAGGCCAGCAGCAATGGCTTATGCCTATAATCCTAGCTACTCAGGAGGCTGAGATCTGAAAATATTGGTTTGAAGCAAGCCCAAGCAGGAAAGACTGTGAAACTCTTATCTCTATAATTAACTGCCATGAAGCTATAAGGAAACTTATGACTCAAATGACAGAGTACCAGCCTTGAGTGAAAAAGCTAAGGACCAGTGCCCAAGCTCTGAGTTCAAGTCTCAGCACTGGTAAACACATACAAAAATATTTTGCCCATGGCAAAGGTATACCAGACTTCCTTTACTCATACTTGCTAAAAACAGTAAGTAAAAATCATGATTGGTTGGGTGAGACTGAATGGAATACAGTGTAAATATGTGTGAAGATATAATGATCTATCCATCCCATACAACTAACAAACTATTTTTTTAAAAGAAAGGAAATTTACCTTTGCCATTCCAACTGAACTGGCATTCAATTCTGAGATCCCTTGATTGGTCTTGTCTCCCCGTTCCCATATCCCGAAATCCTGTCATAAAAGAACCAATATGCCATTTGCAAGTCGTAACTACTAAACACTTACTAAATTTCACAATTATTGAATTAACAACACAGTAGGTAATTCTCCATACATATACCTATCATTAATTGTTATTAAATAATTAACAATGAGTTTAATGATCCTTATAGGCATTCTTTTTTTTTTGATTTCTAATTGTGTATTGAAAGCAGTAAGAGGTTCCATGACACCAAATAAACCAGTTCTGAGGTTTTCTCAAGATAAATTTAACAGCTCCAGCTTCTTCAGTGTTTATCAAAATACAAAAGAAAAAAAAAAAGTAGAGGTCAGATTTTCAATGGCAAATCAGACCCTTGCAGGCTGAGGGAGGAAGCTACTTTACACATGGAGATGGGGTGCTCTGGGACTGGGTCTGGAGTGGGCCAACTCTCCCAGCTTGCAGACTCCTGCTGGCTAGACCCAGGCCTCCCACGGGTACTTGGAGCAGGCGCCAGAACTGGGAATGCGGGAGGCTGCTAGGCCACAAGTCCATCAAGGATGAGGCCCTGCCCCGCCCCCTGCCAGCCCCTTGGTGACTGTGTGAGCACAAGTACAAGCACAACGCTATGGAATGCAGGTGATCCACAGACAGGCGAGTCACGGGGGCTCTACTGTGACCATGCAGCAATGATGGTTCGTTTGTCACCGTCTCTCCTGTTCCACAGGGGAACAGCTAGCTGATCTGATGGACTAAGCATTCAGGCGGTTACTGCAAAAACCTACACTAGGCATAGTCTCCCTTCTATGTGTTCAAGTGTTCTGCTTGTATTTTTAACAATTTTAAAAAATGCACTGAGTTCAGGTTAAAAACCAACCACCAAACAGATTCTAATACTGATCTACACCCACTGGCTCCTGGAGACCAGGTGCCCACATGTCCAAATCTCTTCTCAGTACTGACCGTAGGTTGATTCTCTTTACAATAAAAAAGCTGAGTAATATTGCATAGGAGTACCAGAAACTGCCTCAGTGGAAACACAAACTATTTACATTAAATAAGTTCCTGTGGCGTAGAGAGTGCAGCCCCAGCTTGTCTGTGATTTCAGCAGCATTCATGGCATTGGGGAGGTCCTGCTTCTTGGCAAACACCAGGAGGACAGCATCCCGGAGCTCATCCTCTGCCAGCATCCGCATGAGCTCTTCACGGGCCTCACTGACACGCTCTCTGTCATTGCAGTCCACCACGAAGATCAAGCCTTGGGTGTTCTGGAAGTAATGGTGCCACAGCGGCCGGAGCTTGTCCTGGCCACCCACATCCCACACAGTGAAGCTGATATTCTTGTACTCCACAGTCTCCACGTTGAAACTTATGGTGGGGATGGTAGTCATGATCTCCCCCAGCTTCAGTTTGTACAGAATTGTCATCTTTCCGGCAGCATCCAGGCCCACCATGAGGATGTGCATCTCTTTTTTGCCAAAACGGCCCTTGAAGTGGTTTGCAAAGATATTCCCCATGCTTGTGGACAGGTGGAGGCGACAATGGCCAAAGACCTCAGCAGCAGCTGTTCCCAGCCAGGCGTTGGTTTCACTCCCCCTTACAGGCACTTTCTTAGTAGCTTCAAATTCTATCGGGGCCCCTAAGAAATTGTAAGTCTCCTCAAAAGCTAATCAGGAGGACTAAGAACTACATAACTCAGTTCATCTAGAGATGTTTCTCAATATTTTTCACTATATCAGATATTCAGGGGATCTAAGAAATAGAACCAAAGCAGCAGCCAAGTTTTTTATCTTAAACATCCATTCAAATTTTAATATTTATTGGCATTAACAATATACCACGCACCACCTATTTTTAATATTTATTGGCATTAACAATATATCACGCACCAACCTATGTACTTCCTTATTTGGGCTATTTTTATTATCTTTAAGTAGCTGTACAAAGGAGTCGCCATTCACCAAAGCATTTTATGAAACAGTGCATATTGCTCAATGTCACCCCTTTCAACATTCTCACCTACATCTCCCAATCCACCTCTTCCCTTACTTAGCTTCAGTTTAGGTTATATATTGTTTTTTTGCCATTTAACAAAGCAGTTTATATGTACAATGCATCTGGATCTGTGTCATCACTTCAAAATCTCCCCCCGCCCCACTGCTCTGACCTACTTTTTCTCTTAAATTGCTCAATTTTGTGGTATATACAATGAATTCTTGCCTGCATTCTCTCTCCTGCTTTATTCTTCCACCCTTCTACCCTTGACCTACCCTCCTCTCTTCCAAGTATCAATTTCCTGGTACTTTGTTGTACTTTGACTTAGTCTTTTTTTTAAAAAAAGAATTGTACTGTTTATGTTCTTCATAGACTCTGTTACACTTCAGTTAATTCATTTGTAGCTCATGAGACAGGGTTACAAAAATAATGTGAGAAACTTTCATAACTCACAATAGCTAATAATTCAAACACTCACATAGCTATTAAGTGATAGAACCAAGATCAGAATCCATGTACTCTTATTCTTTACATCATCATGACAATACAAAATAATGTTTAAAATTACTTTTAAAACCTTTGCCTTTCTCCTTAGTGGCTTCCAATCAATAGTGGATCCTCAGATCTTACTTATCTTGACTTTGACATTTTGTTTTTGGCAGTACCAGAATTCAGGACCTTGCACTAGTTAGACAATGCTCTGCAGCAACTTGATTCCCTCAGCTCTTTTTATTTTTTTCAAATACAGCTGTGAATGTATGGAGACACTAACCACCAAAAAGCCAAAACTGGAGCTGTGGCTCAAGTTACAGAGTACCAGTATTAAGCAGAGAAAACTAAGGGGCAACACTTAAGTCATGGATTCAAGCCCCAGTTCTAGCACAAAAAAAAAAAGAAAACAACTGTTATAAAAACAGGCTGGTGGAATGATTCAAGTTGTAAAGTGTCAATCAATCAACTGTAAGCAAGCAAGCTGAGTGAGTGTGATGCCGAGATTAAACAAACAAAAGTGAAGACTGAGAGCTAGGAAGGTAGCTCATGGAAGAGTGCTTGGTAGACTCCACACTGAGCTAGATCCCCAGCACTGTGAAAACAATGAAGATGAAGTTATCACATAAAAGTAGACTAATTCATCATCACCAGACTCAAGAAATGTTAAAGGAAATTATTCAGACAGGAGGAATGACACATCTAGTTTGAAATCTAATCTACAGGGAAAAAATGAACAGCACAATAGTAAATACATCTATATGTAATGGTTAAATTAAAAAGAATGTGTTGGTTGAGGGTTTAATTCAGTGGCAGAGCCTCGTTTGTCTGAGGCTTTAAGTTCTAGCCTCAGTTTCTTCCAAAAGAAGGAAAGGAAAAGAAAGAAAATGAAAAAGGGAAAAAAGAGAAATAAATGAAAAGAGCCAGGCTCTGGTGACTCACACCTGTAATTGAGTAGACTTTGAGATCTGAGCATCACAGTTTGAAGCCAATCTCTGAAGGACAGTTTGAGAGACTCTTAACTCTAATGAACCACCAAAAAGTCAGAAGTGAATGAAGCTATGGCTAACATGGGGGAGCACCAGCCTTGGAAAAAAGCTAAGAGACAGTCCCCAGGATCTGAGTTCAAGCCCCTGCACTGGGCACAAAAGAAAAGAGCAGAGGAGAGGAAGAAGAGAGAAAGAAAGGAGAGGCAAGGGGAGGGGAGAGAATGGGAGGTATGAAGAGAAGAAAAAAGACCAAGGAACATAGCAAATGGAAACAAAGTTTGTTTCTTTGTTGCTGTTTTTGTTTTATTTTCCTTTTGTATTGTTTGTTTATCTGTCTTTGGGAGGGTAAGGGGAGCACAGAAATGGTGGGACAAAGGGTGAACAAATGTACTCTTTATCTGACATATATATAGTATATATATATATATATATATATATATATATATATATATATACTTTATATATATATATAAACATAACCCCTCTGTACATCACTCTTATAATAACAATGAAATGCATGAAGTAAAAAGGAACGTAACAAAGTAGTAGAGAAGATGACTTGGTATTGTGTTTCTGCACAGTGTTCAAAATAGTATACAAAATGACATATTTAAACCCCAAAATGTAATTAATTTTTTTTTGGGGGGGTCCGGTTGTGGGGCCTAAACTCTGGGCCTGGGTGCTGTCCCTCAGCTCTTTAGCTCAAGGCTAGCGCTCTACCACTTGAGCCACAGCGCCACTTCCGGCTTTTTTCTTTTTGCTTATGTGGTGCTGAGGAATCGAACCCAGGGCCTCTGGCATGCAAGCCAAGCGCTCTACCACTGAGCCACCTTTTCAGCTCCCGAAAATGTAATTAATTTTGACATACACTTATGAAATTATTATTATAGTAAAGGACACTTGTAAAATCCCCAAAAGTCTCCTATGCCCCTCCGCAATTCTTTCCCTCTGTTCCTGTTGTAAGGCAAGCAAGGATCTGATTTATGTCATTACAGCTTTTTCATATTGTTAGTGGCATCAAACAATATGCACATTTGTTATGCAACTTCTTCCACTAAAAATAATAACTGAAACTAATCCAATGTGGTTGCATTTTGATAAACAATTTGTTCCTTTTTTATGTATTCCATTTTGTAGAAACATTGAAATTTGTTTATCCATTTAATCCAGATTGACATCTAGGTTATTTTCAGTGTGGGGAATTAAGTATCAGTGAACAATAGCAAGGCCTCTATTAGACTGAAGAAACATTTTATACAGAGAAGATATTATTTACGGTAATTTAATATGAATATACCTAATATGATAGTTGTAAAGAAATTTTTTGGCATAGCACGTGCTGAATGACTTCCTGCATATAACATTAAACCCATGTCTAACTTTTATGTCTACATAACTAACAGGTCCATAATACTCGGCAACCATTTTAAGCCTGTTTAAGACTTGAAACTTTTATATTTTTGGTTAGTCGTGGGGCTTGGGGCTTGAACTCTGGGCCTGGGCGCTGTACCTCAGCTCTTCAGCTCAAGGCTAGTGCTCTACCACTCGAGCCATGTGTCACTTCTGGTTTTCTTGTGGTTAATTGGAGATAAAAGTCTCATGGACTTTCCTGCCTTGGCTGGCTTTGAACCACTATCCTCAGATCTCAGCCTCCTGAGTAGCTAGGATTACAGGCGTGAGCCCGGGTTTGAAACCTTTTAAATAAGACCATATTTGGTATCAGATCACCAAATACATGTCATGAAATATTAAGTATGAAAGGAGTGAAACAAAACATACATCTAGGCCCTGTTATCTCTGTACCCCTTTGAGTAGAAGGAAAACAGAGGATGATAAATCTTAATAAAGACATTGAAGTTGGGTGCTGGTAACTCATACCTATTATCCGAAGGCTACAATGGTTGAAAGTCAGTTCAGGCAGAAAAGTTCATGAGACTCTTATTTCCAATTACCCATTGAAAAAAAAAAAAAAACTGGAAGTACAGGTGTGGTTCCAGTGGTAGAGAGCCAGTCTTAATCAAAAAATGCCAAGTGAGTTTCCTAAGTTCAAACACAGCACGTGTATGTACACGTGCATGAATGCTCACATACACATACACACACACACACACACACACACACACACACACACACACACACAGTGAAGACAACTTTTGCCTGAACCCTCTTAGATTATTTCAGTATGCAGGGCAGCTTTAAGAGAAGGATAGACTGGTAGTTTAGAGCCAAAATCATTGTATGCTTAAAACGCATTCTAAAATGAGTACTTACAGCAGTTTTATATGCAGCTTCAATGTAAAACACAAGATTCTGTATGAAATTTACTTCATCAAGGCTATGGATGATATGGAGTCCTGAGGAAAAAAAGAAAAAAGAACAAAATTGGTCATCTACCCCCGTAGGGCTACATATATGGAGTTGACACCAGATTAAACATAAATCTACTTCAGTTAGACTGACTTGTATCCAGATGGTTAATATTACTGACAAACTTCTCTTCCACATTAAAATACCTTTGAAATAAAATTTGCACTTCAAACAACTCATCCATTCCAAGTATACAATTTAGTAGGTTTTTTCAGTGACTATATAATTGGGCAACCATTACCACAATTAGTTTTAGTATCTTGTACTTGTTATCAATCACTCTCCCACATTCTTTTAATACTTGCCCCCAACCCAAGTGATCATCAGTCTATCTTTTGTCACTATAGATTTGCCTCATTGGACATTCATATAACAGAATCACAAAATGCATGACCTTTAATAATTAGGTTCTTCCACTGAGTACATGGATTCATCTGTGTTGTAGCATGTAGCAGTACTTCTTTATTTCTAGAAATTCTCCATAGTGTGGATGTAACATGGCTTATTTAACCATTCATTAGTTGATAGAAATTTGTATGTTCCTACTTTTTTGGCTATCATAAATAATGTTGCTATATATATTCATGCAAAGGATGTTTTTTTCTTGGGCCTGGGGCTTGAACTCAGGACCTAGGTGCTGTCCCTGAGCCTCTTTGTGCTCATGGCAGCACTCTACCACGTTCATGCAAAGGTTTTTTGTGCAAATGTTTTTATTTCTCCTGGGTATCTATGTTTTTACAAATGAAATG